ATTCATAACCGGCCGAGGGCTTCCCGGCTTTGACTGCGACAATTCCGCCCAGCCGCGCCGGGGGACCCTCGGCCTGTCCGCGGCGCCGTCACCTCCCGTCGCCCGGCCTGGCGCAGCCCGGGGTCCTCCATGTCTTGCCCAAGTGGCGCAGCGCGGGGAGCTGGCGGCCTCCCCGTCCTGCTGTCCCCTGTCGTCCCCTCCCAGGCCGCCCGGAGGGGAGCTGTTTAGAGCTGCGTCCGCCCCTCCAGGAAAAGGGGGCCGGGACGCGGGGGCTCCGACTCAGAACGGGGGCGGTGCTGTGCGCCTGCGCGCACCCGGCTTCGCAGCTCGCTCGGGACTGACCCTGGTTTACTGATTGATTTTCATGTAAGACGCGTTCAGTTCTGAAGATGACCTCACTCAAACTCTGCCTTTCCGACTTTTTTTTTTTTTTTTTTTTTTTTTTAAGAAAACTGCTGGCAGGCCCAGAAACCTGCAAGCGCTGACCTGTTACCAGGGCCGCCCCTGCTCCCTGCGCACCCCCTGCCCCCCCCCATTTGTTGTATGTTTAACTCTACAACCGTATTACTGGTTTTTATTGCTGCCAGATACACAGGACCTTTCCTGTTGCGCAATTTGTCACGTCCCCTCCAAGGGCGGGCAGCAGGCCTTGCAGGCGTCCTCCGCCCCCAGCCCTACCCCTGGGCAGAAGAGTTCCCCACGCTGTCATCAGGGCCCTCGATATCTCCCCACCCGATAACAAGGCTCCAAGCCGAGCATCCTTCCGGGCCGAGGAGGCTGGCGACCAGCCCTGCCCTCTGCAGAGGTCCACTTGAAACGGGCCCTCCTGCCCCCACTCGGTCTGCTTCTCTTGGGGACGCCGCCATCATCATCTTGTCGCCAGTTCCCCCCTTTTTAAATCCCGAATCCCACCAGCATCAGTATAAACGTCCAGGTAGTGAGTTAGTCCCCCTCCACACACTCACACTTCATTCCACTGTTTATCGCATCCTTATCTGAATGTGACCCAAGGATTAAGGGGGAACGCCCACAGTCCCAAGTTCCACTTTACCCTGGTTTGCATCTTGACCGTCCAATGTTTCTTTACTCCAGCGGGCGGCTTCCTTGGGGGGAGGGGCAGGGGGAGACACCCCCAGGCAAAGGGCGCGGAGGCCTCAGGCCTTTCTGGCTCCCCATCCCCCTCGCCTCCCAACCTCCGCCCCCTCCCTCCAGCTCTTAAGTTTGCTCTTCAAACTTGCCGGACGCCATTCTCCGCTGGGGCCAGGAAACAAGAGGGGAGGACGGGAACAGATTAAAGAAAACAAGAAACACAATCAGCCCACAGAAAAGCCAGGCAGAAAAGGGTTCCACAGGGAAAAAGAATGTGGCTGTCCAGATAAAGAATGTTTGTCGTCGGGCCCTGGCCTGCACTGAAAATGGGAACTCACCTGGTCGCCTTTCACTTGGCTCTCTCCCACCTCCTTCTGTCACCTTTGGCTTCATTCTCACGTTGGACAGGCGTAGGGTAGGAGGAAAGGTCTGAGATAACACAAAACTTCATTCTTTAAGAAGTGCATGTGTATTTTTCTTTATTTCTGCAAAGTTGCACCCTGGGCCTCTCTCTGGCCTCCTGGTGAGGGATTTCTCCCAGCGAGAAGGGTGGAGGCCCACACAAGTGTGGAGAAGGGGGCTGGGGAGTGGAGGGCAACTTGGGAGAGGGGTGGCATTGCCTGCCGATAGTGCCCATGGAGGGTTCTGGAGTCAGTGTCTGGAAACATGCAGTTTACTTGTTTCAGAGAAACTTGAGTAGCTTCTCAGGCCATGCTAGGGGCATCTGCTGTGAGTATCTGCAGAAAGGCTCTCGGCTACTCCGGAAAGGAAAGGACTTGCAACTCATGCAGATGCCGACCCCACTCCCCAACCCAGATCTGGGCCCCATTCCAGGCCATGTCTCCCCACTTCTCCGAGCAGCCCTTGCCCCTGGTAGGGGCTGGGGTGGGTGGTGGGCCACTGATGCTGAGGTGTCTGTGGGTTGGGGGACCCCTCTCTCCGCAGAGGTGTAAGGACAAGTTGAATGCCTTGGCCATCTCGGTGATGAACCAGTGGCCAGGAGTAAAGCTGCGCGTGACCGAGGGCTGGGACGAGGACGGCCACCACTCAGAGGAGTCACTGCACTACGAGGGCCGCGCCGTGGACATCACCACATCTGACCGTGACCGCAGCAAGTACGGCATGCTGGCCCGCCTGGCCGTGGAGGCCGGCTTCGACTGGGTCTACTATGAGTCCAAGGCACACATCCACTGCTCCGTGAAAGCAGGTAAGCCAGCCTCGGACCCAGCCATCTTCCACAGTCCCCTATGCCACCACTGCACACCCCCAGCCCCAGCAACTCCAGATGTGCCCCCAAGGCACAAGGAAAAAAATGGGGGGGGGGATGAGGCCCAGGGAGGAAGGGTCACTAGGTAATGACTGCGCTTTTGCTCTGGGAATACACACTGTGGCACCCTCCGCCGCCCCCAGCAATGAGTTGCCCCTACCATTGAGGCCACAGAGGTCCGGCGTTTTCCGCGGAGGTGCTGAGGACCCAGGGTTCCCTCAGCCTCCCCCAACCTCCCGTTTCCGGAGCCCTCTCTGCAGGTGCTGTGGTTGGGGGAGAGTGACTGGGGGAGGGAGACGAGGACTGCACATTTAGCCACGTACTTCCTCTCATTGGAGCTTAAGAACTAACCCCCCCCCCCCCCCAAGCGCAGGGGGTTCTGTCCAAGGCGTAAGCCCAGTCCTCTCTCCTCCCCGCCGGGGGCCTGTGGATTCTAAATAACTTAACTCACTCGCTAAGCCTTTGGGGAGAGGCCTGGTGGGAGGTGATAAACCCAGTAGTTACCACTTCCAACATCTGGAGGCCCCACGCCCAGAAGCATCCATCCTGATTAGGAGCCCGGCCGGGACGCCCGAGCCGCGGGCAGGGCCAGGAAAGCCGATCCGGCCGCGGGTCTGCAGCTGGAGGCCCGCCCCAGTCGTGCGAGGCCATTTCCCTGGGCCTGCAACGCCACATGCTGTCGCCGACAGGAACAGCTCGCCACGAAAGGCAGGCACATCCGCGCGCACGCAGACGCCCCGACCTGCGCGCTGTTTATACGCGTCTCTCCACCTCTCGTTTAGAAAACACAGTTCACAGTGAATTTCTGGGGGACGGTCTTCCGTTCCCACCACCCCCCTTTCCCTACTTGTCTCCCAAACTAAATTTTAATGGCTTATGTTAGTAGAAAAACACTTTTAAAGTGTCAAGACACACTTCGTGGGTAAAGAAAATAGCGGCTTCTTGTAACAACAGCAAACAGAGGCGTGGGAGCGAACGGGGAAGGGCTGGGCCCACAGCCCGGGGAAGGGGTGTCTGCTGCTAGGATCTCGGGGACGAGGCGCCCCCACCTCGAGGGGCTCCGCGCTGGGAACCTTCCTCCGGCCCTGCCCGGGGGACACGCAGGCGGCAGGAGGCGCCCGGACCCTGCGTGCGCCCTTCCCGGGACCTGGAGGCTGCGCTCCATGTGCGCGGCCACCCCAATCCTCGGGGTCCCCCTGGCGGGGGTCCCTAGAGGTCTCCTCCCAAATGAGCAGCGGTGATCCCGCTCGAGGATCCCGGCGGGGACAGTAGAGCCGCTCATCGGCATTCCGCGCACACGGGCGGGGGCGCGGCGCAGTACGTGTCAAGCGGGGTCGTGCGACTCGACGACTCGGGCTCGCCAGCGCCCCGGGTCGCATTCCGGGGAGCTCCGGAGGGCCCCCCACGGCCAGTCCCGCACTTCATGACGGAGAAACCTATGAGAAGATTAAACTCCTTCTGTAATTCCAGCAGGAAGACTCTTTCCTGCAATCTCTATTTGCAAAAAGCATGATCCCAGCGATTGGAATGCAAAGACCACGGGGACCTCCCCGCCCCTCCTCCCGGGCCTCGGCGCTCCGCCCCAACTTCAATTATTGTCCTCGGGACCGTGAGCCTCCGAGAGCGACAGAGGGCTCGAGAAAGCGGGTAGTCAAGGGGCCTTGAGAACCCCGCGCTTCCAGCGCTCCGAGCAGGCCTCGCCATTTAAAATTCAAATACGCATCTCGAGTGCTTGGAAGAGAGGCCTGGCTGTGCAAACAGCGCCGGAGCCCGGGCGCGGACGGCGGGGGGCTGGGCTGCACCTGAGCAAATAGGGAGGGGGCGGCCCGAGAGCCGAGAAGGGGGCGGGGGGGAATGGAAGTGTCCCCTCTTCCAAGAGTGTCTCCTATTTATTCCAGAAATCACAATGACAATGCTGGGCCCTTTATTGGATTTTAATTAGAAAACCCACACAAGCCTCGGATTTTCACACCTCGGCCAATTCTATGGCATGTTTGTCCAGTTGCTACAACTACTTACAGCTATTTCGCGCTCCCCGCCCCTCCACAGGCCCACGGCCGGCCGGGCGCTGGGGCGGGCGAGGGGTCCCTGGGCGCAGCCCCGGTGCGGGTGTGCAGAGGTGCCGCGCCGGGGCTGGGGGCGGCTGGCAAGGGAGGAATCCAAGTGCAGAGCAAACACCCTCCGGATTCGTAGCGAGCCGGGTGTGTGCTGAGCAGGGCATGGGGCTGGAGGGAGGCGGCGGGAGAGGGCGTGACTGGCCGCCTGCAGGAGACGCCAGCCAGCCTCCGTCGCCGCCGGGCCCGTCCCGGGGAGTCGCTAGGGAATGCGCCCCGGAGGCGGCGGGGCTGGGGGCGGGAGGCCGGCGCTGGAGCCGCCCGGAGTCGCCCCGGCCAGAGCGCGCAGA